AAGATTATGCAATGCAACAATAGCAATCAATACACGTATGACGTGATTCTTGTAACATGTGAATATGTATCGAAAAAATCTAGTTCTTTTTGTTTATATCTTTTGGCTACTAGTCTAGCATTATACTTGTATATTGATCCATCCGATTTCAGCTTCTTTTTGAAAATCCACTTGCAGTCTAAAGCTTTGTTTCCCGGAGGAAGTTTAACCAATTCCCAAGTATGGTTATTCATGATAGATTCAATTTCATTATTAAACGCTTCTTTCCGAAAGGGAGTATTGGGAGTGGACATTGCTTCGTTAAATGTCCTTGGATCATTTTTTAGTAGACATGTTAGAAAATATGGACCAAATGTCTTATAAATTCTTTGCCTTTTACTGCACATTGGTTCATCTACTTGATGATTACTATCTTCTTGATAGTTTCTAATTGCAGTATCGTAAATTTGTTTGTGTGAATTTACTTATTTCTCTTTATAAGAAAAGATATTTTCAAAGAATACAGCATTCCTTGATTCAATGATGGTATCATATGTACATCAAGTATTTCAAATTTATGAATCAAAAATCGGTATGCACTACTGTTGTTTGCATATCCGATAAGACACAATCAATTGTTTTAGGTCCGATCTCTACTTGTTTAGGTTTAGGTATTTGTACCTTTGACAAACACTCCCACACTTTAAGATATTTGTAGGAAGGTTTTCGACCTTTCAATAAGTCATAAGGTGATTCATTCTTACTCTTGTATGGTATTTTGTTAAAGATATGATTTGCTGAAAGTATAGTTTCCCCTACATATTTTGAGGTAAACTTGAATTAGTCAACATTGCATTCATCATTTCCTTAATTATTGCGTTAAGCAAGACCATTAGATTGAGGTGAGTATGGTACTGTTGTTTGATGAATAATTCCAGATTCTGAAGAAAAGTCTTCAAACAGTGCAACATATTCTCTACCTCAATCACTACGAATCGCCTTTATCATTTTTCCAAGTTGATTTTCAACTTTAGTTTTATAGTATTTAAACACTTCCAAAACTTCACCTTAATATTGTAACAAGTATACATAATAGTATCTTGTACAATTATCTATGAATGTGATGAAATACTTTTTAATACATTTTTGTTTGGACGTACTTTAAGTTACATATATCGGTGTGAATAAGTTCCAGAGGTTTTATACTACGTTCAACGGAATGAAACTGTGCTTTGGCTAACTTAGCCTCTACACAAATTTCGCATTTTCCATGTGTATTAAAATGCAAACTCGGTAGTAAAATTAAATTCATTAGTTTATGTATAGAATTAAACTTTACATGTCATAATCTATGATACCATAAATTAGACGACTCAAGAATATAAGAAGAAGAATTATTCCTTGAGTTATTCGGTACAATAGTAAGGACATTTATCTTGAATAGTCCATTTTTTACATAGCATTTGCATACATATATATATATATATATATTATTCTTGGTAAGTATAAACTTATCCGATACAAAGACTAATTTAAACTAATTATTGCTTAAACAAAGAACCTGACACAAATTTTTGCGAATATCCGGTACATGAAGAACATTATTAAGGCTAAGTTCCTTGCCTGATCTCATATCCAAAATAACTTTGCCTTATCCTTCAACCCTTAAACTTGAAGCTTTTTCCATGAACAATTTCTCACCATCGATCAGAGTTTAGGATGAGAACATTCCTTCGTAGACACAAATATAAAGGGTAGAACCTGTATCCACCCATCATTTCATGGGATTTTCAACATTGTTGCATTCTGAAACAAAGGCAGACAAATTTATATATGAAATACCATCAAATATTACATCAGATTCGATGATATTCACTTAGGCTTGCTTCTTAGGTTTACGACAATCAATAGAGCGATATCCGGCCTTTCCACAGTTATAACAATTGCCCTTGAACTTCTTTGCATTCTTCTTGGATAGTTCAACGGAATGCTTTATTTCCTTGCTTTTGTTATAGGATTTCACCACATCAACCTTATCTTGTGCTATAAGACTTCCAACACGCTTGTCAGAATTTTGGTTGTCTTCTTCAATTCTCAATCGGACAATGAGTTCTTCAATATTTATCTTCTGCGCTTATACTTAAGATAGTTTTCGAAATTCGTCCACATGGGCGGAAGTTTCTCGATAATTGCAGGCAATTGAAATTATTCACTTAGAGACATATTCTCGGCATGAATGTCATGGAGTATAACTTTCAATTCTTGAACTTGACTAATGACCGTTATTAAATAAATCATTTTGTAATCCCCCACGATGAACTTCTTAGTTCCAACATCTTCAATCTTGTATTTATTTTTCGAGGATTCTCATAATTTCTTTACAAATTCCAAGGAACTATACACATTATATAATGTGTTATCTAATCCATTAAAAATGTAGTTTTTGTGTAAGAAGTCAAAATCTTTCCAAACATCCAATGTAATCAATGATTTACTATTATTTTCCCATTCGTATACGACATGAGCATTTTCTTTTAAGTGGCTTTGCCAATTTTAGGGTCATAAGATAAAACAAAATTTTGTACTGTCATATCTTGAAATCAGCTCCACTAAACATATTTGATTTCTCTCGATGAGGAACGGAATTAGTATGAACGGCATAAGGGGCAACCGTAAAGGGAGAAATCACAACGATAAGAGCCATGTTTGTTAACATTTCTTCCGAAGTTCTCATATACGAATAGCTATATTCATTTATGTTTATACAAAATAGAAGATAAACCAAAATCAAAATTTGAGAATGAGTAAAAGAAGTTAAACCGAAGTGAAATCAGTTTAACCAAATGCAATTCAAGAGTAAAGTTATCACTCAAACCAAAATTCGACTTAAAAATGTTGGATGAGATATGACGGATTTGAGTGATGACTTTAAAACCAAAAATCAATTTACCAATTCTTACCAAAATCAATTGGATCGAGTAACAATAAGGATTTGAGTAAAAACTCCAAAAGAGAAGAATATAACGCCAAATGAAGTGTATGCAAAGTTGAGGCAAGAGTTGAACTCTTTGTCCTTAAGTCAAATTTGCCCCGCAATGGTACCTATGGATGATGGCAATTGACTCTCAAGATACAACGACAAACTTTTTATGTTAATAGCACTTCAAAATATAAGAACAACGAATCTGAAATTGGTTTTTGTACTCCTTCAAATGAAAAATGAAAAAATAGCTTTTATGCAGAAATTTGGCTAGGAAAATGATGAATTTGATGTTATGCTATGATTTCATATCATTGTGATGAACAAATGGACGTCCCAATGGTCTAATTTATAGAAAATGAAAGGTTGTAAGTAAAGTGTTGCGTCCCAAACTTAGCAACATTTGCAAAGAGTCGTGGCATTTGCTATCACTAGCCTATCGCCCTTGCATTTCTTGAACGACAGCTTCCTCGCTCGAGCGCTAGGCGAGTAACAGAGGTGGTCAAATTTCTAGCCAATTTCTTCTCTTTCTTCCAACTTTAGACAGTAATTTCTTTTTCGCCCGAAATTTGTTTGGAGATTCCAAATATACCAGGCCGATCTACTCAACGAGTAGAACAAGTTAATCTATTTATTTCCAAAATTTGACTATCGGTCACGTCCGAATATTTGGTTGAAATTGACACGTAAATCATTTTTTCATAATTTTATACTTAACAAATTCCAACAGTATTCACATCATATTCATCACAAATGTTTAAAAGACAATCTATTGGGGAAAAAGATGTTGTCTGTATTATAGAATGAAAACTACTTTCGAAAATAAAAATTGATACAAAAATGAGAAGAAGAGACACGATGAATATAAAAAGGAAAGAAAAATACACAAAAGTGTGTTGAGGTAGTGGCAAACCAATTATAAGCATTGTTTCTACTTGGTTAAATCTTGGACACTGAATTCAAAATTTAAACTTCTAGTGAGGTTATTAAACTATGTGAAGCTTGGAGGTTGAGACACTAAGATTTGGAGAGAATAATCACATATCGAAGTATTACTTCCATCGGTGAAACACAATTAAACTCGAGCAGCAAATGAATAGAGATCCTAAATATGAGACCTTATACAATTGCTAAACTTGTTTAGAGGTTGAGCTGACTCTGTTACCCTCCCAACTAAACTATATCTAATAGTTTTATGAATGTAACAGGGCTATGATAGCTCAAGAGTTAAAATTTCGAAAAAAAAAAAAAAAAGATGCATTTTCATGTGGCATCACAACAAATCTTATAAATATTTTTTGGACTTTTGCTACATATACTTCAAGCTTGACAATTCATCCAATATACTTTGTAATTTCGTAATAATGTTCAATTTCAAATAACAAAACAAGCAAATTTACAAGTAAAATCAAACATGTCTGTAATTAATACTCTCTTCGTCCCATAAAAAAGACTTACTTCAGTTTTCACACATATTAAGAAAATATAATTAATATAGTTGAAAATATAAATTTTACATATATTTTTCCTATATATCCTACATCAAATAATGATTTAAATAAAAGTATGTCATATTTATTAATAATAAGAAAAATGACATATAATTTGAGACCAATGAAAGAGAAAAGTAAGTTTATCTTTTACAGGATGGAGGAGTATCATTTTTAATCAAAACGTCATCTTAAACATCACTCGTAACGAAATAAAAATTTGTAAAATAAAATATTTTACGGTTGATAATTATAATATTATAAAAAAATTTGACAAAAAAATAAAAATTAATTTAAAATTAGAATCTTAATCTTTTTTTTTTGGACATATCAGACCAAGCTTGTAGGGTCGTGGCCAATAGGGGGACCGGACGGGGTCCATACGTTAGCTGCAACTTGTAATGCACATGAAAAACGCCGACTTGTACTTTCCCTATAGTACTTTCTCTTTCTATTTTCTTTTGGGGTACAACATTTCTTTGTACTGCGTGTACTGCAACTATTTTATCACGAGCGATGAAATCTATCTTTTATTAAAAGAATATGTAAATTTACAACGAAAAACAACTTTTAGTAATTGAATTTTTTGTAATAATAATTTTCAGGGTCGGCGCAGTATCAGAAAAATCAACAGTCTCCCATCGCCGTCGTGCCGATGGCCGCGGGAGATTCTCCGGTACAATCGTCTCCAACGAATTTGGACGCCATGGCTGGCACATTGCTTTGTCACTCCATCTTTGAACTTTGATTTCAGACTCCACAGCTAATTGCTTCTCCTCTGCAGCAATGGCACCTAATCCTTCCAAATTGCTCAGTTCTTGTCCAATTATTACACATGTTAACCCTAAAATGCATTGGCTTTTCCACGATCTTTCCTTCTGAGGGCTGCAAAAAAAATAGTTCGACGGGCATTAGGATATAAGTAAGATCTGACATCTATATGTTGTTACGTTGGACTGAACATAACTAGACAGGAATAAAAAAAAAGAGACCTATGACTAATTTATCGACTATTGTACTTGATCCAACTTAACAAATATACATAATTGTGCTTGTACGTGTCGTCGAGTTACGGCTTTAGCAAGACCGAAAATATATGCTTGTCCATACAAAAAATCAGGAAGAGAGATTTACTCACCATGCAACTTGGGTTGTTCTTGAAGTACTTCTAGTTGGAGGGAATAGATTGAGGCAGCAATTGGATGAAATAGCCATTTCTTCCTTTCTCTCTCTGTTTTTCATTGAGAAATGGCAGAGAATACATATATATATATGCACACATTAATAACAAATAGAATTTTAGATTTTTGGTCTGTGTAAGGTGGCTAACAATAATTCCTGGGATACGTGGGTTTGTGGCCCACAAACAAAGATATTTATTTACTTGACGTATACCAACACTTTTTCCAACTTTGAACAGAACGAATTATGTACGGTCTACATTGTTTATGACTGATCATTAATTCAGAGGTGTTTGGTGGGGATTAAAATTAAATTTTTATTAGATTTTGATAGAAAATTTTGAAATGTATGATTGAAAAGTTGTGGGACCCATGAAAGATGTGATTAATATTAATTGTTTGATTTTGACTTAAATTTAGATTAAAATC